TTCATGCAAACAGATGGAATTCCCTGGGCAGCGTCTCCACGTCAGCACTTGGCATTCCCAGGCACAGCCACCCGGTGCCGCAGCAGTGAACTGCGCTGAGGAGAGGAATCACCACACCTCTAGCCATGGACTCCAGCAGGATGCTGGTAAATACAATAGCCCTAGTTAGAAGAAACAGGCATTGTCAAAGAGAGAACTGGTATCTCTGAGGTGTGGGGGAGTGAACTGTGATCCTTGATGTGATTGAACATGCATATCACAAAAATGGGGACCTGTTAATTTCTAAACTCAGTATTGTAACACTAAGAAAAATTGAGTTGAAAATTGCATTTATTAACACCTTTGTATGTGCAAGCGAAGCCAAAGGGATTAGTAGGGAAATGAGTTTGTCAATCTTTCCCACAAATGTTTTTGTGGAGTGACACCACAGTCAAGACCTAGAACAAGCAATCCTTTCAGGACAGACCTCACTAATACACAATAGCTCCAGACACTGCAGAGACTGAAAAGTAGCACTGGACATTAAAGGTCTCTTCGTACACATGTAACATGCAGGAGGAAAGAAGCCGGCACCAAACCACAATCATCTCCACAGCCCTCAGAGCAGCATGAACCAGCAGTGCCTCCTTCTTGAGAGGGTCCAACCCTGTGATCCAGTGCAGTGCTGTGACATCCTGCTTGCTCCAAACCAAGCAGCTTCTGCCCCAGCAACAGCAGCTTCACTCTATTTGGTTACTTTCATTGTGAATGCAGCTGGCTTCCCAACAGCATAGCATGCTTCAAACAGACAGCCCTCCTTCCCAACCATGGATTTTTCTTTTCTTTCAGACACTGATAGAAATTTTCTTGTATTTTATATCTTATTTGATAATTTTAATTCTGACCCAACTGAAATCAAACTCCTTCACCACCCACACCAGTTAGGAAAAATGTCACAAGTCTGTTCTCAAACATTCAGATAGTTTAAGCCCAAACTCTAGTTGGTTTTAGAAGTATTGAGTTAACTTAGAAATTGAATTTAAAATTAACCAAGAAGGAAGGGGACTCAGCATGAAGAGGTTTTCCCACGCTGGAAAACCTTGTGCATTTCAAGAACTCTCTGTCCTGGCATAAAGTGAAGCGCTTCACTAGGAATGAGGAAGGAAATAGATTCTTCTACTGCAAAATAGCCAAAAACCAACGGAGCCACAAGCAATGCAATTCAAACTAATGCTTTCAAATCAAATTTCCTAGCCACAGACTTGTTTGCTCCTCTGGTGGAGGTATCTCGCCTTGTGTAAATACATTTCCCTGAGCACTGGACTTGGTAGATCAGCAGCCCTGACATACTCAATAGGACTGACCAGACACACACCATCATCCCATGCAATCAGTGCTCCCATTTCCAACAAAAAAAAAACCACCCAGCCATAAAATTCCCAACTGTTCCCATTATATCACCTAGCTGGAAACATCTTTTTGAGTCCAGATGTTCATCAATCACACCACCATCAGAAGGAGTCCACATGAAAATGATTTCAAGCCTCAGCCTACAGTTGTACCCTGATCATAAACACTCAAAAAGCATTTTTTCCCCATTTACTCATGCACAGCTGCAGAGTAAAAGAAAATCAACTCAAAGCAAGCAGTGTCCAAGAGGGAGTTCTGCACCAGACAAAGCTCAGAGGTCAGGAACATTCACCCAGATGCTCTAGAGAGCATCAAGACAGAAGGTTCATTTCATTTCATTCCTTACCTCCCTGCTTCCCCAGAGCAGCCTCCCCCTTTTCCTCTCTTTCCCCTTCCAGTTACACAGTTCATTTCTTCTGCAAGACCTAACTTGGCGCAAGTTTTGGCAATTCTCACTTCATCCCTGAACTTCCTGACCCATAAGATACAGCCTGCTTGGCTTATCAGTATTTATTTCCCACCCACCCCCATTCCTTGCAGGCTTCTTTTCAAGTTCCTCCCAGAGCTCACAGTCCCTCACTTTTTAGAAAATGGTGTTCTGTCAGCATTCCAAGTGGGAAAAAACAAAACCAAAATGAAGCAAAAATGAACACACTCGCACATCCCTCCCCCCTTCACTTTGTAGTCCAGTAGATTTCACTACCCAGTGAGCTCTGCCTCATGAACCCTGCACAACGTTCATGCTCCACCTTGGCTTGCTTTTACAAACAACTCTTCGTAACAGTGTTGGCACCTAACGAAGGGAACTTCCATCTCTCAAGTGAAGTCCTGTTCTATGAACTCCCCAAGCCAGCAGCCTCCCTTCCTTTCTCTTCTCTCCCTTTCGGAAATAGCCTTCTTAAAGGGGTGCAGCTTTCATCTCATCCTGCCCCTCTTGCCAGGATGCTCAACTCTGCTGACTGCCTGAGCCTCCACACCTTTGAGCACCTTCTCCAGCATGGAATTAGTTGCTTTTGGTTCACTCCAGTGGTAATCTCGCAGTATCGTTTCTCCTAAACTACAGCACGTACCTTCCTATCCTGCCAGGCTCCCTTCCAGCATCACATCCATGGTGTCCAACCCGCAGTCCTGGCTGACACTGTGGTTGTTGAATCTGCTGTGGGCCTGCTGGTTCTTAACAAGGAGTCTCCAGGTGCACTTACCTCTTACCAGTGGTGGTGTGAATCCAGTCTCTTCCTCTAGCTTTTGCATTATCAGTTAGCTATGAACAGTTTAGGGTACAAATGCAAAGGTTCATTGCCAAGAGGTCAGGCTGAGGAATCTCAGCAGAAGCAGTGAACACAAATCTTTTTTTTTTTTGTTACTTTTTCAACACCACTTCCTGTATTTATGAAAGCAGTAACATGACAAAGTGTGGGACAGTGAGGAACCGGAGTTGGTGAGCCCCGTGATTCCCTCCTGCCCCACTGCCTGCATGAAAGTCCTGCAGGTAAGGAGATTTCGTCTCCTCCCTTCCCTACATTAACTCTAGGGTATCCATAGAGCAGTTACGACCCCTCCAACCTTCATTTCACAAGACAGACCAATGATCTTCCCGATCATTTGGGCATCACTTGCTCCCCACCATGCAAGGGAGACGATCTTACACAAAGGAAAACCTTCCCATCGCTAGCATGAAGAACTTTTGGAGTCATTTTTCTGCACCCAGGGACAGCAAGCAGAGTTTAACATCTGCATCCTTCAAAAACATACTCTGTGAATTGAAAGTCTTCATTTCACAATACTAAAGAGCACCCCGTTAACAGTGCTACCCCCAAAACCCCCATTTCCTGCCTCCACAGGCTCTTAAGTGTGGCTGGAATGGAAACAGTCTAAATTATGTAGATTAAAAGCTTGGATACATACACATCATTTTGAGAGAGATTCAATTCCACGGAACTGCAGGTACAGAAAAGCAAGACCCAGACCACTGATTAACAGCAGTGAAAAAGAAGAGTACAAGAAAAAAGCCTCACAGTTCCCCCCCTCCAAACACATGGAGGTGTTTATAAAAGCTTTGCAAGGATCAGTGAAATACATGGAAAATCTACATTTCTGATTAATATGCAAGGAAACAAAACCGAGATACAGAATCAAAGGATGGTGTAACTGACACCCCCATCCTATCAAATGAGAAGGAAATAGGTTTGGTGTTCAGCAGCAGGCACGGCGTCTGGGAGCAAACATGCCCCAGTGTTCTGCTACTGTGGCCAAGTCTGGTGGCAAGGCCTGGGGGAGGCCAAGAGGTATCACCAGGACACACAGCACTGAAATGGAAATGGGGGAAGAGCATGTGCATCAGAAGTTCCACTGAGCTCCAAGGGGAATAGAGAGCGCTACTGTTGCAGAAGAGCCTCTCAACACATACTTAATTCATGGCATTTCAGTGCAAGAATCACATAAACAGGTGTAAAAATCTTCAAATGTAATTTATTAAGACATTCAGCTATGTCTGTCAGTCTACATCCAAATTTACTACTAAAAATAAAATAGTATCACATTTCACATTAGGAATACCGACTTTGAAAAACACTTGAGTCAAGCCTATCGTATAAATAAGTGACTAATTTCTCTTCATATCAAAATTCACATAAAAAAATTGCCTGCTCCCTACTCCCACCTATTCCCCCACCCCAGTCCCTAGTTCTACTTGAAGCCATGATGAATGTAAAAATTTAAGTATGGACATGTCCTTGTCAAAGAAAAAAAGGTGCAAACCTATTAACAGCTTTAAAAGTGGCATTTGCGGAGTCTGATCATACACAATAATGTACTCATTCCCAAAGTGCAAATATCGCCAGAGTTTAATACTGTTTTAATTCAGCTGCAAGAATTAAACATTACACAGCACAGTACTGCAAGGCCTCTATCTGTGCCCTAAAACTCATCCCACTTGCCTCCTGCACATGGTAGCAGAGGCCAAAGTGTTCATTAGAGCTTTAGTTTACTTCATGCAGCCCAGACTGTGCCCTTTATTAGCAAAAATTTCATATACATCAAAATATTGAAGACTCCGTCATAAAAGTCAAGAGTCACTATAGGTTACATGAATTCAAATGCAACTGCCCCACCAAGAACACCCAAAGCATAGACATGACGTATTAAAGAGTGCTTCCATCTTCTAGTACAATCACTGCTGTTGTAGCTTTGATTTTTGCTTACGTGCCATAAAAAATAGTCAGCGACCAGAGACTGGCAACTTGCTGCATTGAACACCTCTCAGGTACCCCAGGACATGGCTGAATGTGATACCCTCTTCCTGTCTGTCTGCAACCTCTCCCAGACCTCTCATTCCTCTTATCCCTCACCTGCGTCTTGAAAAAACTCTTTCACTGCAATTTGTTTCCAGACATCCTTCCTATGCCCGCAGTTCAGAGAGCTTCTGGAGTCATTTCTACTACATCTCACTGGAGTTACCACTACCAAGCAGCCCATAAAAATCAGCATGGGAGATTACATTTTGACCAGCATTAACAGCTAAACTTCTTTCACAGCTGTGGAAGGATAGGTTTTCTTCTGAGTCAAACTTAGATCTCTGAAATGTGTTTGTTCCTGCATCATCCTTTGCCACCTTAGAGCTGGACACAAACCCTTGGATCTGGAGCGGGGCACCCCTCTGGGGCTGCTGTTAGTTCTGCAGCACAAGCTGCTCCCTGGCTGGCCTCACACGGGCCTGTGTCACTGTCCATGTTTTGAGACCCCTCCAGGCCATCTTGTCCTCCAGCAACCTGGCCATTGCTCTTGCTAGGGCTGTCCTTCGCATCTGGCCCATTGTCAGGTTCAGCACCAGGTGGCTCAGCTGCATCTCCAGGTCTGGCATTCTGCTCTGCAGTAGAATTTGGCTGTTGAACTGGCTCCGGTCCCAGCCCCGGAAGCTGTGAAGGGCTCTTAAGTTGGCAGTGGCACAGAGGGCAGGTTTCTTGCACATACAGCCATTTCTTAAGACAACCCGCATGGAAAAAATGGCTACATGGTGTGATCACAGCAGTTTTCATATCCTGAAAGACATAAAAAAAAAGAAGGAAGATCACATTATTTGTAATCCCATTCTTTTCCTCTCATCCCATACATCTGATGGGTCCATTAGCTACAGAAGAGTGAAGGAGTCCACAGATAAGTAAAAGAATGTTTCCTTCCTTCATACCAACAAGCCTCCACATTCAAATACAAACACTGGCCAAGTCTGGCTGTTTATATCACAGGGATTAGAAATTACGCAAAAAGCCTTGTTTATAAGATATTATTAAACAAAAGATCTTGTAGGATGACAGTCACAGGATTAGTTGGTTTAAGAAGCAATCGTGCATGTCAAAACCAGCACACTTACAGATACAACATGTAAGAGCAGCAAGCCAGAAATCAAGTAACCTCCCTGAACTCTCAGCTGAGACGTACATGTTACTAGTCTGGTGTTTCAAACACCCTCATTCAATATAGCACTGGTAGTTTTACTCTTCAAAGTATCTGGAGTATCAAGTTTGGAGTCAATCCAACTGCTCTCCAACTGCACACTTATCTTAGGGTGGTTTCACTGTCATACGTTAACTACAATTTCTATTCAAGAGAAAGAGACCTTGGAGCTAGAGGCGTGATAGAGATACTACTTTCAGCATTGATTTCTAAGGTACTTACATCTGCTGACTTACACTCGAAAGACTTTTGATAATTAGGTTTCTCTTATAAAATTGACATTGCACATGAAGTGGAAGTAGTGATGTCTGTAAAGACTGAGCTGCTTCTACGGAATAACAAGAAATCAGTAACGGAGTACACATTGTCTTTCACTAAGAAAATCTTCCACTAATGAAGAATGGGGACATTTGCTGTTACTTTTGAGACCAGATCAACCCAAACACAAGAGGTTTCAAAGAAGCTCAAGGAAACAGTTTGTTGTGTAACTTGAGGAAAAAAAGAGGAATGAAACTTTAACACTTCCAAACTATCTCTTTATTCATAAAAGCTCTGTGACCGCACCCCAAATCAATTTACACAAAGCAGAAAACTGGGTAATTCAAGTGATTTTCTGAGCACAGTATTACTCATTAACCATAATTCAAATAAGTTATTTTATTAGTTGCAGACTGAACTTGACAGTCTAGAGGTATTCAAATTTAAGTCAATCTTCTATCACTTTCATTCCTACCTGGTAGCAGATAGCACAGATATCATTGTGTTGCTCCAACTGCTCTTTTGTGGCAACAGGCAGTGATTTTATCTTATTCACAGCATCTCTACGAAGAAGGAAACTCTTCCATCCCAGCTGGGCCCGCAACCACACATTGTAATAGGAGTGAATGAAGATGATCACAGAACCCATCACAGTCCATTCACCAAAGATTGTCTCCGAGACACCGTATGCCACCACACAGAGAGCAACGAGGAATTCCAGCAGCCGGTACGTGCCATTCACATAATAAATCACATCATCCATATTTTCTACAGGTTCTTTTCTGAACTCCTCCACCATAAACAAAACATAAATGAAGAGTGTTCCAAGCACCTGTAACACAGTGAAAGACCATGAGCTCAGCACTCTATTCTGAACCAAGGCGTAAGCAATCCCGCATTGTCCAAGGAGCTCTGTACACACAATGCTCCCAAACCAGATAGAAAGCAGGTGAGCCCCAAAGTAGTAAAACTGTTGCTGAGCTTCAAGACAAATAAAATCGCTCTTTTTTGCAAAGCATGTAAGCTTGTTCCCAAGTACTTCCCGTTCTGTGCTCTCCTTAGTCAAGAGCATAGCTGAGCTGCTTCAAGAGAAGTACTGAGCATCCTGAGCAGTGATTTTAGTGTTATAACAAATACCCATAGTAGAAAACATTTGCTGTATTTATACTACTGTGTTTTGGATGTCAAGTCATTTTCAAAGAGCCATAGCTGAGTAACAATACATGAATGAGTACTCTGGGGGAAAAAAAACAAAACAAAAAACTTTTTACTATGATAGTTATAGAACAGAATCTACTAGGTTGGAAAGACCTTTAAGATTATCAAATCCAACCAGAAAGCCTTCTGGATTTACAATTTGAAATAACTTCCATTCACCTGTGTTCTCAGTCCACCCCTAGGAGCACCTTAGCCTCAGATACAGGCTAAAGAAAGAGATTTTAGATCCTATCTTGTACTTCTGCCCTTCTATCATCCCTGGTCTTTCCTCATCATGTTTATCCTCCTCTAGAGTAACAGGATCACAAGTTAATCAGGGCTTCACAGTTACTACAGGGCTAACGTTCTTACCTGAAGAGAGGTTAGAATACTGCTGGAGATAATGATCAACAGCCAGAAATCCATGTGGAAAAATTGACAAATCATGTAGGCCATGTACGCGGGGAACACGAGTAAGAACAAACAGAGGCTGACTGCTCGGAAGTGCTTCCAGAGACTCCTGCAAACAACACAATAGGGTTTTATTTTTTAAGTCAGATTTGAGTGTCAGGATAAGAATAGGCTGTCTGCTGGATGTAGGCACACTAGATGTTTGCTCAAGGCTTTAACTTGTTGAAAGGAGTTTGTATTTTACTCAGGCACAGTCTCATTCCCAGCATGCATGCCTACACCACATATAGTATGAAAAGTTCTCTCTCACATGGCCTTTCCTGTTTTCAATACAAAGACAAAGATTATGGGCAAAAAATTAACCCGCAGTAATTGTCATAATGGGTCAGGTCAGAGGTTGGACAAATGAAGTATGCAAGATACTGCATGTTTCAGATGAAAGATCAGTAAAATAAAGAAAGTTACCAACTCTGCATATATCTGTTTGTACACTTCTCCATATAAACAGTTTACCCATATTATATACTTACTACAACTCTTCTGTGTCTTTTTGCTAATATGCATGGGAAAAAGATACTTTCTTTCATCACCGTATTTAACCCTGCTGCCTTTAGAAGCGTATTCCCCAATTCAGACATCACAAAAGAAATGTAGCAGGACTTGAACATTCATCTCTGCCATTCCTTACTCTGCTCCTATCATTTACTTCTTCCTCATTTCCTCCCCAACCTAAACACATCATCAATCTTTTTACACCCACCCATTTGGAAGGCTTTCAGGATATCTCCAGTAATTTACTATACTACCTCTGCATGTTCCTCAGGTATTTTAACCTTATTTAGGTCTGGAAATGAGGTACAGGAGTAGTGAAATGACAGCAGCAGAAGCTGGCTAAGAAACTGTCCAAAGGAACATCAGAACACTACGAGGCATGCAATTCTGTGTCTGTAGGTGAGGGAGAAAGGCAAAGCTGAAGTGGAATTTATCCTGATTTTAGTTGATTTAGAACTGCCTAGGAGATTTGGCAGAAGAGAGTTAAAACTCACTATCACCACAGACTGCTTATTTAAGCTGGGCAGATGCTCATATCCTGGATCTACTCCCTTTCCCTGAGTTACTATATTTGAAGTTAACATTGCTGGTGGCACAACATACTGGCTACAAGTAGCCTCTAAGCTAAACAAACTCTCTACACATAAATAAACCTTCTCTTTCATGTCTGCACTTACAGGTTACAAAAAAAAGACAGAAGAAATTAACAAAGATACAAACAGATTAATACAAGAACACCAGATACCAGTATAGCTTTTCAAATCAGAAATTGAACTTAAACAACAATCCCACATCATTAGAACATCTGGTGCACTAATGCAAGCCTTCCACCTCTTATTTTCTACCAGTAAACCCTACCATTTTGGGATCACAGTATCACAGAAAAAATAAAAAGGCTTACAGTATTTAACAGGAGGTCACTCTTAGAAACTTCCCACCCTCAACAACTAGCTGAGATCACTGCATTAGAGGGAAACCTACCCAACTGCAGAAGAGGTTAAGCAAAACCATTCTGCAAAGCCACACAATGGTGGGTGGGAAAACCATAGGCACTGGAGTCCTGGGTTTGCATAACTGAGACCACAGTGCACTGACACTCTTGCTATGGAGAATACCCACTGCACAGTGCCATTCTCAGGGTGGGCAGCCAGCAGCTGCATAACAGCATGGCCTTGAACAGGATAGATGGATGCAGTCCTGGGCAGGAGCAGGTGACCAAAGTCACCCCCTGTTTGCCAGCATACAGCACAGAGAAAAGTATTATACTGTGTGCTCTTGAGAAAGCAGGATAGGAAGGGAAAAGGTAGAGAATTTAGACTGGAAAAGAAATCTGCATACAAAAGACAGGGTAACTTTACAAGCTACTAAAAAGCCAAATCAGGCCATCAATTACTAGTTTATCACCTCCTAAAACAGCATTGAGTAACTTTCATTTTAGGAAACCAGTCTCTTACTTGTCCCTTGAGGCTCCCAATGCCAAGACAATAGGATCAGCGATTTCCAGCATGGACTGAAGTATGGATGCCACCACAATGAAAAGAATAATACTGAGAAGAAACGCCCGATGCACAACTTGGAGCTCAATCAAACCTGTCTGCACAGCCAGGATGAGGAGTGTGACTCCTTCAGTCATTCCCCTGCAGATTAACAGAGTCAAAAGAACAATTAATTACATCTTTCTGTGTGTCAATGATGGTTCAAAAATACATCTAGAAACACCAGGTAATAAGCTCTTTCTGCCACAATCCTTCAAATGTCTTGTTCTAGCTTTTACTGATATCCCTGATAAGGCTTTAATCAGAGAAGAGTGTTTTCAGAAACACTGAGGTGCTGGGGGTTAGGAGGCAGCAGATTTCAGACTGCTCCTGCCTAGCAGTGTGTGAGCTACATGCAGCCCAGCAGAAACCACCTAATCAGAGAGCCCTCCCCCGCATAAGGCCTTATAAGGACCTAGGTTGTGTCTTAAGAGGAAGAACCTACCTGCCTCAGTGTTGCCTATATGAGCCCATAAGAATCCTGCTATGTTTACACCTGGGCACCAGTCAGCCTCATTCCTAGATCACCATGAAGACCCTCTCCACTGGTTACATTTCTCCATCACCACCCTCCTGTCTGTTCTCTGGCCCTGGGGAAACATCCTTGGCTTAATAACCCACTCTGTGCCCAGTTCAGGCAATCAGCAATTTACCCATCTTTCAGTTTACCCTCTCTGTACCTATATGCTGTCCTCTTCTTGGCTTGGAACCTCAAACTGAATTGAATACCTCCGCAACCACAATGCAGCACCAGTATTTGACACAGTTAAAGAAGAGATCACCCAGAACTGCATTCTTACCCGAAAGATGTTTTTATGTAGATTACTCCTGAGCACCCCCAATTTATACCATTTTCACTTCCACATCATGTGATCCAAAATGTAAAACACTCTTTTGCATATGGTCTGAACTTTCTACAGAGTTAAGGGCTGGAATAACTGAGAAAGGTAGTATCATACATAGGATCCCAATTTCATATTGGACAAGTTGGGACAAGTGTTAAGAAAAGGCAGTTTCTATATTTTGGCTATTTCCCATGGTAATTTACAGACAATCCATACAACGTTGTGTTTTAAGCCTCACAGATTAGTGATGTTTCACACATGACTACAGGATGAGGAAATGGAAAGATGAAGTGTTTATATTATCCAAGCACACGAAAATTTTCCAGTGACTCATGAAAATGAAAGCACTAAGACAATTCAAATGTGCTTTCATAAATCCCAACTAAAAGCTCTGAATTTATTACAGAAATTAACCATCTCCCAAGAAGTCTGTGACAAGCTGTATTTTCACCTCAAATCCTTCCAGTGCACAAAGACCGGCATACAAAAACCCTGTCAAGGATACCCTAAAGTTCATAAGTTAAAAAACTGCAAAGCAACCTGTATGTTTCTGTATAAATTCCTTCTTTTTAGACCTTAGGCACAACAAGGCACTTACCTGTTCATAGCAGGATCATTCATGAATGCTCGGTAACCCTGCAAGTAAAACTTGCAGAGAGTCAGAACTCCCAAAGCAACGAAAGAGACTGTGAAGACCAAGCCCAGCAGCGAGTACGGAGTGCTACAGCATTCAGCAATACTGGGAGGAGAGAGGGAAAGAAACAAAAAGAAAAGGTCCATCAATTAAAAGCAATGTGCTGAGCTCTCCCCTTGTGCTGTTAATTGTGCAAGCTGCTTTGAAAGCAAAATTGGATTGGTTTGATGTAATATTAAAAACTCTAAATCATCATGAAATGCTTCTATAGAAAAAGAAAAAGATGAGATGTGTTCTGTTACTTTTTCCCAAGACACAACTTCATCCCAGCTAATGCTGCTGTCAGGGCTGTGCTATGGTGTTCCTCCAGTCCCTCTCCAGCACTGTGCCACACGGTGGCACTGTCCTGCTTGCGCAGGGTTTTCATAACCTTAAGTCAAGCATCCAGGTTACCTGCTGAAATTTCTGCCAGCTACGAGAAGCACAGAGTTGAAGCAGATGAATTCAATAAGGCGCTTTCCACTCAGCTCCACCATAATGCAAACAAACATCAAACTGATAATTGTTATTGGGAGACCGAGAGCTCTGCAGTAGCATTCACATGAGATTCAGGCAGGCAATGCCTGTTTTTCATAGGGCTGAGCCAGAAGCAGCAAATAAGACAGCAAAGAGTATTCTGCAGGAGGCTTCTTGCTCTCTTTTGCTACAGCAGTGAAGTCACACCGACTGAGACCCCAGAATACATCTGCTGATGCTGAGAATAGCTGCATTACTTCAGCTCCCTTCACCTTCTGCTGGTCCTGGCACTGCAATGTCTGGAGCAGCCTAAGCCTCAGAGTGTACTTTGGCTTCTGAAACACAATGCTGCTAGAACAAGGTGCGGTGCAGTGCACCACATGCCCCAGCACTACGTAAAGCGCCAATTTACATGGAACCAGAAATCCCTGTCAACCAGGGATTACCCATCTGGAAATCCTCACATATATTATCCAAGGTAATATACGCTGACACCCCCATTCACAAACAAATAAATAAAATCTTTGTTTGTTCACCAGGACAATAGTTTTGTGAGAGAAAATGCGCTGGTCAAAACTATGTCAGGCTAATTAACCAACTGAAGAGTGAACTAGTCCAGTGATCTGACAAAAGGACTTTGAGGAAAAACATGCCTCAAAAATAAACAAAGCTTGTCCAAGAGACATTTAATTTGTCTCTCTTAATGTCATCTTTAACTGGAAAACTCCTTTGAAAGCCATTCACAACAGAATATGTTGATGTGTTTACATATACTATTTGCAGGGCTTTTAGTAAGCCTTCATATTCTGCCTGGTTACCAAGCTGGGCAGGGCTGAAAAGGTTTTCAAATCTTCCTGCTGCTCAATGGTAGAGAGAAATGCAGTATTTAAAGCAGGTATTTCTGCAGGATACTTGAGGAACTCTTAAGTTTTCCTTCAAAATAAATTATCACAAATCAAGACTCTGGCTTTTCTGTCTGATGCCCAATCCTTTTTTGCCAAAAGTAATTCTAACACCCATGAATTTACTTTCAGATGATCTACTAAGCAAGGGTCCCAGAGAAAATTAAGAGCTCAAAGAGAAGCCTCGGGAGCTCTGAGTGTTATATTTATGTGTCAAGCACATGTTTATAAATTGCCCCAAAGAGCTGAACTCTTCAAGGCTTCTCAAAAATCAAATGCAACAGCAGTTACATACCCACGGAAAGGATCTTGACAAGAGCAAGGACAACAAAAGGTGCAGAACAGTTTTTAAACAGTAAACATGCAAGCAAGAGCTTTCCAGTCTGGGAAGAACAAACTTATGCTACTCTCAATTTTAAAGAACAGAACTGTTTGGTATGTTGTTCTCCTACCGCCATACATGAGTCGAGGGGCACTGAATGAAACTATATGAGTTCAAACAATCAAAATAGATCTTTTTTTAATCATACAGACCAAGTTGAGCTGTGAAACTCCTTGCTCGGGATCTTTCAATGATGCAGGTGTACATGGGTTCAAGAGCAGCAAGCACAAACTGATGGAAGAGAAGTCCTTTTGAGGGTTACTGGGTGCATATTAGCCATATCCAGCTAATGCAGCTTGACAGCTGAAGCTGGATGCAGGACTGAATGAGTACTAGGAAGCATCCTGTTTGCCAAACTACGGGCGGATGTTTTTCCAGGTGTCCATTTACAGTCACTGCTGGAAACTGGATCCTGGGCTAGACAGTATTTGGTCTGAGCCAGAACAGCCACTCTGATATTCCACTCTGATATTCCTATGAGGACTGGACACAGCTATTCTGCACACCCCAACTGCTCTCACCTGAATTCCAGCTATAATATTTTAAGAGAAGGGCAGAGATGCAGAATTCACTCACTCTCATGGAAGAGCACACCTTTTCTTCCTTTTTGTTGAACAGCCAGCACTACATTATAAACCACCCTCACAAGGTATTTCAGCTCCCTCCTAGGAGGTAAGAGGCTATTAGTGGTATTGGGCTTTTGTTTTTAAGATTAATAAGCATTTATAATTTCTCTACTGCAACAGGGTTGAGAACATTTGCATAGTTTTCCTGTATTTTTCCACTTGCAGGGAGAACTTCATAGATCAACTGGTATTCAATCACTCACAGATCAAGTCAATGCAAGCCTGTAAAGCAAGTTCCCCATTTTGCCATAAACAGAAATTAACGATTTGGCGTAGGAATAAAATCAACTTATTTATAAGGAAAAGAATCACTTCCCCCACCTCTGCTAACAGCAGTGCTTGGTTGTAACAAAGCTAAAATTGCAGCAGAGATGAACAGGAGGAAAAACTTCAGAGACCAATGGTTTAGTGAACAACCAGGTAACATAGTCAGCACTTCTACATAATGCAGTGTGACAATGTAAGCAATCGTAATACTACATGCAATAAAATCCCTGACATTTCTCCTTAATGACAGTGATTTTTGACAGCTTACACTATTGCACCATAGACAGATACATACACAGAGAGGCAAGAAAAAGGTAAGCAATTGTAAAGTCTGATTAGAAAACTGCAGTGATTAGCAAGTTACTCAATTTGCTGCCCAGACAGCAGAATTAATGGCGTATGATCTCTGAAGAGTATGTACTGTTGTTGCCTTTGTGTTTAGACAACTATTACCTCTTCTCATCTCAGTATTACCCTATCTAATTTGTGTAACTGATCCTTTGCAGCACACCCAGTTCCTCTCTGCCTCACGCTCCCACTCCCTTTTGTATGCTGTCACTTCTAGTTAAAGAACAGCCAGCAAAGGCACAGTGGTTCCAGCCAGAATCCCCCAAATGCTGCTTTTCTCTCAGAAACAGCATGAACACAGGCCTCTCCTTTATCTCGCCAACCGTTTTTACAAAGCTTTAAGGAATTTGGTATCCAAGATCTTTACACCTCTGCCAAAATAACCACTGGGCTCTAAAGTACTTTGGGAGTGGAGTACTTTGGCTGCTTGGATGAACTCAAGAACATGTTCCACACCAGAATGATGAAACAAGACATACAAGGCTCAGAAAGCACCACAATCATGAGTATCAGCTGGACTGAAATTCAGCTGAAATATCTCAGCCTTAAAACCAATCTGTATACTGAAAACAACTTCTGGACCAAAGCTCTAATTATAGCTATTTCCTCACCAAAGGAGTATTTTGCTTTCTCTGGGAACTGTCCCACAGTTCCACTAATGCCGTCTGTTCTGAATGGGATTCATGCCGCTGAAGGACAAGCTTAACAGGGCTTAAATGAGTGGTCGCTGCAATAAGGACAAATATTTGCTTGGCATCCAAATGCAATAAAGCCAACCTACATACCCAGTGTCTAAAAAAGCACACTCATTTCAGAAGATAGTAACAACAGAAAACCTTTTGCAGACTAGTTAATTACCTTGTCAGGAAGAGGAAGAGAAGCCTCTCTCTTGAGGCAGGCTGGTCCCGTGTACTGAAATAGGAATAGATCTGAAGAGCAAACAAGACAAGCCAAAACACCATGAAAAGAACTGGGACGACCAGCTGGTTCCACAGAGACATCCCCAAAGCCAGGAGACCATACACCTCCACCACCTGGACAAGACAGAAAAATTCAGTTTGTTACAGGTTCACAGCAACCATGATTTGATAACAAAAGGACAATCAACAATATAGCCACAAGGAAGCTAAGGATAATTCACATGGCATTAGCCATCCCAAAGAAAAGGAGACATCAAATTACAGTCTCATAAAGGGAGAACCCATGTTTAGCAGCGACATATTACCACTATCGTGAAGAGGAGAGAAGTACCTGACTGTGCTGCAAACTATCAGACCAGCTGAATGCACCTTCCTACCAAGAACTGTCTGGGAGCTGCTGACTGCAGCCCACTGACAGCCAGAGGGGTGAGGACACAGGCCTCCAGTTAACACACAACCCTCTTGGACCTTTTTGCCAGCTTAAGTCACAGCAATGTTGTTTTCTCTGTAGCTACTGCCGAGTTGCTGCACTCATAGGTACTGAAATAGCAGCCGCATCACCAGCACAGTATATCTGCTTTACTGACCTGTTTTTAAGGCAAAACTAAATGCCTCAGACATTTTAAGTATCCCAAAAAGAACATGCACCAGACTTCTGACTGCTCCTAATCTACCAAGTATTTTGAAATTAATGCTTAAGAGTTATTTCAGAAGATTCTGCAATACAAAAGAAGTCATTTGAGCTTCAAAGACTAAATTACAGTGCAGTCATTTCCAAGAAGCTGGAACTTCATATAGCTGGACTTAATACAAAAGCTCAAGAGGAAATCACTCATTACTATTTCCTCATCACCTGCTTCCCACAGTGACATACAATCCATAATGGCTAGCAAATTTCAGCTAAGAAAAAAAAAAAAAAAGGCTAAAAAAGCTGCCTACTTAGTCTTTCATGACAAGCACGAGGGATATTATATTCATGGGACCTGCTGCAGTACGTATTGTGGCCAAAGGACAAGCATATGCTGCTGTGGCAGGGATATGGTGCCAAGGTCTTGGATTTAGCTTTGCACACAGACATGTGGAAGAAGTATACCAGCCCTCAGGGAATCCCCCTGGGCTCTTCCTTGGCCTGGGACCAATACAAGCTATCCTATGCAGTTGCTGGCAGAGTGCTTCACCGCATCAGAAAAGGGTCATGCTACGCTCATAATGTAGATTCATAACCATGAGGTATTTCTGGCATCTTCTGCTGCAAGTAGGCAGCCAAGGCTCTGGACTTGCTTTAAAATTATACCATTAGACATAGCCTGAAACACACACACAAAGCATGCCTTGCCCCACCTTTTAGGGCTGTCTCAGGAAACACTCCTGGTGTTTAACATCCTAATATTGACCAGTTCTGCCACACATGAATGTATTTGCAATTAAACATTTCATAAAATGTTGATGTGTTTTAAACACAAGTGTCTAATAAAAAAAAACCAAACAGATACATTACTCTCAAACCTATATCCAATCTGAATTTCATTTCAGGAAGCTAAATGCTGTATCGTTCATGCACATGGAAACCGGAAGTGCTGGTTCCAACCTGTTGCAAGTTTTCGAGCTGTACAAAGACATGCAACTGGTTTACCCCAAATGCCACCACATTAAGTCAACAGCAAGCATGATTTCCCTATTCCCACTGGAAGACAAAGATACTGAAGCTTTGCCAGTTAACTCCCAAATTAGTTTTTAATCAGCAAATCTACAAGCCAGTTATGGGTGAGATCAGACCATGCTACATGCTGTACAAACACAGAAAGGATCCTGCTCCAAAGATCAATTACATATAAAATAAATAACCAGACAGTAATGATCAACATGACAGGCTGAGACCTTGGCACACTAGACACCTACTGCTGCCAAGTTTTTGTTTGTGTATGACAGATATGACAGCAAAGCAGAGCTTTACAAGAGCTTAACAAGTTAATTTTCAGACTGCTTTGGGACTGAACAGCAGAAGTCAGAAAACGGTGGCTTGGTTTGAAAAGAATCCAGCAAGTGGTTCAAGCAAGCATCAAACTTTTTATGTCAAAATACAAAGAAGTATGCACATACACACACACATTTTATTTTTATAGAGAAACATGGTGTGATGTTTCTGTACACTAACAAAGTGCCTTTTCAACTAAATATTAGATGTCAAAGTGTTAACAAAATGGATACGTGTCAAATCAGTCTCCTCTGTTTCTGCTAACTCTTTTGTTAGAGGTCTCAGCAATGCTGCTGTTCTAAAGAAAATACTACAGACTTTTCAAATCACTGTCTGCAAGTTACAGATCACTGACTAAGTCAGTGATTATTAGAGTCAAAATGAGCTTTAGTGTTACTCCCACTTTACCACTACTATAATTATAAACGCTTTTCATACAGAAGGCATCTTTTGAAATGAACAGCTACTACAATTAATGCATGGGGATTACTTTGCTCACTTAATGAGGCTTTAAATAAATGTAATTCTGCTACAACCTTGTCTTTTAGCCTGGATTTGGGCAGGACCAAGCAAAGTCCAAGCAAAGTGAACATGCTCAGCTGGCCAGCAGCATAATTCAAACTAATGTCTTAACTGCTCACCCATACAAATTATAAGCTACCATAAATTAAATGTCCTATGGATAGGAACATATTTGGTTTGCTAAGAAAAAGTAACACACATACAGAAGATAGCCAAAGTATTTTTCTCCTTCTTTCCTGCAAAAAAGGCTCAGGCCAACGAAAATGAAATCGTTACGTTTGCTGTCTTACCTGGACAAGCTCTCTGTATGCAGATTTTGCCAAGTTATAGGGCACCAGAAGATTTGATGCCAGAAAGTAGAGAACTTCCAAACCAGTGAAAATCATGGCAAATTTGTTGATGATGACGATGGTTTCCAAAGGGACCAGGCAAAGTCGTGCCAGCAGAGGGAGCATGTGAGCAGAGAAAAGCCAGATCTGTTTTGTTTTCATGACGCAGGAACAGAGCGTACATACCACCAGCTGACCTGAAAACGTGACACAGTATTTTATAATCAAGCTGATTATCCCCTTCAGGAAAAAAAAACAAAACACACCAGCTTTTAATACGTTATATTTCCATAACGCAGTTAACATCCAGCATATTATGACAGTTCTAACTAGGACATATCTGTTATGAAACCAGACTCCTCTGCATCTTTTGCTGGCTAACACCATTTTCAACCTATGTGAAGTGCAGGTTTCCACTGTAAAGATTAATGAGATGTACACCCAAAACACATGTAGATTCATACTCAGATTAATCTGAAGTCATAGGAATACATCATGCAAAGGATAACCCACAGCAAGTCATCCCTCTTTTTCTTTAATACTCCCAGCTCAACTTCAGTACTGGTGGGATCTGTATACACCACAGTAGCTTTTCTGAAGCACAGCTATATTCCTCTTTCATTCCAATCTACACAAAAAAAAAAAATAATCAGAGGTCCCAAATGGCTTTTAGAGCAAAAATATTTCTACGGTCAAGAGGAATTACTGGCCAAGAGCAACAGGAGAACAGCCAGGTCAGCAGCTGAGACGTCAATAATTTCATAGTGCCTGAGGCAGTTGCACAGACTGAAGCTTTCAAGTGACAAGTAATTAATGATTAAATTCTAGTTAAAGAGTTGGCAGGGCCACAAGGACATCTCCCACACACCCAGAGATCTGGAGGCTGGTATTTCCAGAGCAGACCACTCCAGTGTAACTGCTCTGATTAGAGTCACTGGAAGTTGTAACCCTTTCTCTCAGAGGGAACAGAAGAGGGAGAAATACACTGCCCAGAAAAGAACAATTCTCACCACTTAGCAGTAAGAAAAAGTTTATTGGATATTATTTAAAAGCAGAACCTTATTCACCATCTGTGTTGGCCAATATCTGAAAGCCACAATACGTGGTGCTAAACCCAAGTGCTTATCCTGTTTCGGAGCTACCTGCAACAATGTTTGCATTTCACAACTTTTCCCAAAACCAGGAATTAGCCTTAGCAAAACTCAGAGTAACAAAATCAAGGCTATTACCATCTCTAGGTGAGTACTAACTTCACATGTTCACATAAGCTTACTGACCTTGCAAGCCCTTCTGGATGGGTTGGGGAGGGAAACAGTGAGAGGAGAAATAGCAGTAGCAGGGCTTTGCTTTCATTCTGCTCAGCTTCCCCATCTAGGAAAGGACTTCTGCTTTAAAAATAACTGCAACTGAGCTGAAAGCAATCTCTAATCTCTCCTACTTAAGCACACAAAGTTCTTCCTCCTTCACACTGTCCTCTTTCAAGTTGAAGGCCTACCACCAATTTACTAGATGTATTTCTGAATTAGTGGATTTCATTTCAGAACACGCACCCTTGCTCTCAGCAAGACACTATCAGCATGCTGGGGCTTGTAAGCCTCAGAGAAAGTTACTCTACTCATCTTTTCAGGAGTTCAGCACACCAGCTCTGAAGCATTCTCCCTCTGCTTTGTTGTTCTCTGCCCACACACACGTTGCTACAACCCCATTTAAGATACCACCAGCACACTGCTGTGCTGTAATATTCAGGAGCCTGGCACAGTCAGCTTGCAAGGATTTCTGCGACTCATGGTAACTAAGGCAACCCAGCTTCACGCACAAAGGGATACAAATCCCAGCATCCATTATGTTCTTTAGTAAGCGTGACATCATCTGAAATAAAATATTGCAACAACATCACATTAAACAACCCAGTACTCTTTGGGATGGCTCTGGACCTCTCCAATCACAAAACAGGACCTCTGAGTTCAGTCTCATCTCATGCAACAGCAAAACCTGCTTTCCTCCAGCAGTGATGTGCCGAGTATGCTGGTCATCCCTGCTCAACTCTCTGACCCTCCCACCCTTTTAATTTAAACACTGATCAAACGTTACTTGTCATGGGAAGGAGAGCTGTACACCATCAAAGGAAATACACGGAGCACTTTCTCTGGAGCTCCCGATGTCTGCACCTTGTCAATTCTCAGCCCCTTCAAGAAGGGTCTGAAAATGCCTCCAACAGAGCTTCTAATGACTGGTACTTCCCATATTAAAGCAGTACCTTAGTTCAGGACAGACAATCTCTCTCTCCAGAAAATCATAGCTTTTCTCCAAGTGGGGCTGTACACTGTCAGTCATCACATGTAACATCGCAGCATCGGCCAGAAGAAATTAGCTTGTACCTTGTATTGAATCATAAAATGATTCTAACACTTCACCTATCTGCTAAGATTAGCAAATCCAGCTGCATGTTTACACTCCATAAACTTAAAACACCATGGACTGAAAACTGCCAGACACAGCTAATGAGCCCAACAGTCAGACTCTTCCTGCAGACCGGACACGAAGACGCCAGGCTCTTCTGCTAGGGAATGAGGCAATAAAGGAAGAAATCTATTGCCTTAAGTTCCTGCCCATTCTTTTCCCTTCCCAAAACATCCACAAATACATTAAATATTGCTGACAGGTAGCCAAAGCCACCCAGCTCATAAGCTAATGAAAAATGTGCAACAAGAAAGCCTATATGGTACAGCCACTGTTCGGAACTGTATTTCATTCCCAATTTTAAAAAGCTGATGTTAACAAATTCCCTGTCGACATTGTTAAAGGCTATTAAAAACTTGGGATATATTATTTTTTATATATATATATTAAAGTTAATATCTAATCCCATATTATGCACTAAGAAAAAGCAAGTCTTCATGGTAGCGTCCAAAACCATGCAGCTTTACAACGTTCACAGCCGATATGCTCACAAAGTGGCACACTCATCCAAGGGACAGTCTTCAAAGACATTTATTTCTTCCATCCAGCACTTTGGAACATTAGTAACTCTAGTCAACAGTCATCAGGCTGAATTAGATGCATGGAAGAAATGACTATAAGAGCCCATTCAAAAAGCACTAATGAATAAAAGCATTAACAAAGATTACATCTGTGAAGCAGTTGGCATACTCTATATCATCCCCTTAATTCTGACCAGAACTTTGAGGAACAAGAGCTGGATCAGTAGCACCATTATTTCCCCAGGCCTTTGTCAACAGTGCTGCAGCACAACATCTAAGAAAAAGATGAAGCAAAGCACCTGTATATTAATTTTCCTGTGAAGATGACAGTTTAGTGCATTACAATATGGGGACATTTTAGTCTGACATGCAGTAAAACCCAAAACAGTATGGGATACAAAGATTATTACCATCTTCTCACTTATTTTTAATCCATATTAAAACCTGGATGAAGCATAATGGGCTTGAGTCTTGGTTTAGTTTCTGTCTGCGAATGACGCAACACTTCCTGACCTCTTCCTGCCTAGGCCTGCCTCGTGCTTTGTGAAGCTCTCTGAGGGACTCTGCTTTATCATGGGTTCCCTGCATTGCACCCAGGAGAGATTCAAAGGGCTAATTACAACATTTTGTCATAGACACACGCTAGGGGCTTTAGTTGTACTTTGGTGGCATTTGACAGGACAGCAAAATGTATTTAGAAATTCAGGAGAGAAAAAAAATCTGATTATCTGAAGTTTCCCTTTCATTGAAAAATACCAATGTTATTTCTATTAAAAATATTAAAAGCAAAGACAAATGCTACATTTGAAAGTAAGGATGCAGGCAATCAGGAGATGTATATATTCTGGTAGACATAACACAGTAAAGAACTAAACCCATTTGTATCTGCCAGTAGCAGCTCCAAGTGAACATAAAGCAGCTGAGTTTTGCCAGCCATACATGGCTGGCTAAACCTGTCAATACTCTGATGAAAACCATAGATCTTCCTTAATTCCTTTCACTAAGATTTTTCTTCCAAGCTTGTCTCAGGCTTAATTTTAAAATATACATGGAGTATGTGTATATTCCAATATCCTCTTAGTAGAACATATGGTGTGGTGTAGCAACCTTAACACTGAATTTATTCTCTTCCAGTTGAAGTTCAAAGGGTAGAGGAACAGTCTAGAAAATCCAATGTTTTGGGATGTATTTTGGATTTTTAGGTAGAGACGTCAGCTCTGCCATTAATCAAACACAATTTAAATGTAGTCTTGACTTGTTACTCTTTACTGCAGTTGCATGTACACACCCACAAATATATATTACCAGGTTTTTTGTAAGAGAATGATAGTGCTCATCTATAAGGCAAATAAAGAATAATACTTATACAACACTTTAATTGACAAAAGCACTACAAATACAAGTTACTATTGAAATGTCTATAGTACTTTGCACCTACAGATTGTTACAGACAATCCAGTCATCCTCAATCAGATGACGTGTCTGAGAAGAATGCAGGGGCAGAGCATGACAAACAGACCTAGAAAATACTTCAACACTGCAAGTACAAGAGTATTGGTAAATCAGTGGCACAGAAAAAGCCAGGCAGGATACACCTAACTTCCCATGCTTCTTGCATATTAATGGAAAACACAACTACTAAAAGTGAGGAGAGATTTGAAACCAAGAGGTAAAACGTGCATAGGTTTCAATGAAGAGAATTAGGCAGAGTTCTCTCCTGCATCACAAATATTTAAAGCACTTACCTACTAAAGCAGTCATGAAGCGATTCATAGAGAGAGGTTCCAAGTACATTGGCCCTTCATATCCTGATTCCAATTCACTCCTCACATAATCCCTAAAAAAATAAACCCATAAACTATTAGATACTTCTATCAGACAAGAAGCAATTTATTCATCCTACACATACGTAATTTCAATGTATGTCACAGTCAACTAAATTACAAAAAGCAGTATTAACACTACTAGTACAGTAGCCTCACTGGTGTAAGTCATGCCTCAGTTAGATCCTTAAGCGAGACAAGTATTATCTGTAATTAGACTCACTGACATAGCTGTAAAAATCCTTTGGGATATCCAAGCTGTTCTTCAGAGTGTGGCCTGAAACTGCTTATTGACAAAGCCTCTTAAGCACCATTCCATTTTTAAGTATCCTTATTAAGTGTTTTTCTTCCAAATTATAATTGCTTTTCCCACCAGCTCCATGTGAAAAAAAAAAAACAAACAAAAACTTGAGAGCTTGACAGAGAGGTCTTCCCATTTCATGCTTATTGTATTTTGCACCTAACAACCTCTTTGCAATGAATTAAAAAATAAGTATGAAGGAAAGGTGACAGTCATAGACTAGAGTCAAGAACAGAGTTGCTGCATAATCCTTTTACCCAATGTAATTTAAAAGTTTAGCTCTACACTGGGAAACTTGGGGGACCAACCAGATACCCTCAAACTGACAGACACAAGAAGGTAGTCTGAAAATCCGACAGGGTATTCGTAATTTCTCTCAGAAGTTGGCTATGAGGGCGGGCTCAGGCAAACAAAGAAAAAGGTAAGAACCCAAAGAGACTGGGCATTTTTCTGCTGTTGGTGATTACCCATCAGCTTTGCCTTCAAGCAGGCTAACATACCTAACAGCAATATAAGTCAAACATGAACTTAACACTAGGAACAAGCATTTTGCACTTTCAGAAGGCGATCCTGGAAGAGGACTGCAGTAATTGTCCAGCGGCTCCTTAATGCCCCGCCACAACACAGCAGGAAATACTCATGATCGTTTGCATAATGATCCAATACTCCAGTCCCTTTTTCTGCCTTGCCCTGTGACCCTTCTTCTCCACTCCCAGGACAGCTGCTGCTCCACCCTTGTTACTAAATGACCAACTGCCAGCAGCAGCACAACTAAGCAAGCTTGTGCTCCAATCTGGCTGATACTGTCCAATCATTCATGTGTACCCGCATCATGTCCCGGGAATGCCAGGCAGACACACTTGATCTGATCCTACATGGAGGTAGCAGAGTTTGTTTCATCAACGAACATGGTATTTCATTTATTATTTATTTATTTGTATCAATGAGGCAAGCCACACTGGCTGGGAACAGATGCAGTCAACATGAGGCAAACAGTACTGGAAACTACAACCAAAACAAGAATTGCTCTTTTGATTTCAGTGTGGAAAAACGCGCAACTCAGTGCTACTGGAAGCATTCACTTCTCTCCAGAAACATGGAAATATACCATTCTAGTTAAGGTATTCACATTTTCATTTGCAAAAAATCTCTGGAATTGAAGACATAAATCTCAAAGTACTAAAACAAACACTTCAAAGCCTGTTCTTCATAGCTGACAACCCTGCCTACTCACTGCAGCTTTTCAAGTGTCATAGTGTATATGAGGTATGTTGAAATGGGTTCTTTAGACTGTAACCTACAATTAAAAACACATGAGGATTGAAAAGCCACTTAAAACAAATGATTCTAGATAGAACTGTCCCCCTTGTTATCAAGGCGTAGCTAAGCATAAGGGGTTTTTCCCCCTTCCACCATCTGTACAGATATAATCTTTGGGACAGAGTTTAGTATTTTAATATTTTTATTTATTTCACATGAACCTGCAGAAAGCACTTTCTGAAAGCATTAGCAACAAACAGGATAATCAGTTACAAAGGGAGAAAACAGTAACACCATTTGCAACATGCTGAAGATGGCTGGATTAACAGTATCATGCTCTGTCCTCTAATTGAGGGTGATAGCAGTGGCTATTTCTAAACTGCTAGAAGGAAAGAAGAAAGGACATCGAGTTTCTTCCCTGTCTGTTAAGAAACAGGTTACAAAATCATCTGAGACACCAACTGTAGCAAGACGACCTTACACAACTCAGCTAAGATCTATCAACAGAGCTGCACTTACAGTTGCTTCTTCAACACCAGGAACGTGCCTGGAGATCACCCAAATTCCTTCAAGCTACATGTCTTGCCACTGTATAGCTGAATCAGTCACCTGCACAGAGGGCTGTACTTGGCTTAATTCTTTAAGTAACTCTCACTAATTGAGTTTTAGGCTTACCAGCCTGGAGAAGCAGTGTTTGAAGATCTCCTAATTTTTTTTAAACAGTATTTGTAGATGATGTCTGAATAAAGGAAGTCAAAGCAGTGATTCTCTTATTACCAGTACAAACACAAGGATCTTTTGGCACAGACACCAATCAGAAGATGCCTCAAACAGCTGCAGTGCCATACAAGATGCTGAGAAGAGCAAGTGCTTGCACTCAATTTTGATCAATTAAAGCTGTATTAAGCTGCAGCTTTTAGTTTTGAGAATTGTTCACTTTACTGCAGCAGTGTTAAGAAAACACGAGTGCTAAAATCATTATTTACAAGTTAACGAAATGACTGAAGTGACATTACTACTTTAGAAAATTAGGATATCAGTATAAAACTTAGATCAGATTGCCCGCTGTTCGTTCTGTAGATGCATTCCCAGCTTCAAGTAATCAAACGGCCCAACTGTTAATGCACACTCATGCATAGCCAGACTAACATTGCTCTAAAAAGGTAAAGAGATACAGTGCTTCACACACAACCATTTTTTGTTACTGAAAGTGCAGAAAGGTCTCCTGTTGTTAAAAATATGCTTTGTAATTGACTGACATAAGGCACGATGGTTATCTGACCTAATTGACTCATATTGCTGACATATACTTTCACTGATTAATCTCTGCTGTCAACATCAAACACACTCGCATAGGTTTTAAATGTCTAAGACAATCTCAAAATTAAGTGTATTTTAAGATTATCTGTAAGAAATTATTCAGTTTCCCGGCCCCCCCCCAAGCTCTATGAGACACAACACTTGGAATACAATCAACAAAACTGCAAAACATGAAGTAACATCTTGATGTAGATTCATATTTTTTAGCATTAACAGTGTGTTTAATTGCATAATTTATTTTCTGCATAACTGCATTGTTTATTTCCCCAAGTTTTATTACTGGAAATGGGGAAATGTGATCCTTTTAAGTAAGACATTTGTGCAGCTACACATCAGCTAAAACCAGCATCCATTTTCCTTGACAGAAGCAGCAGGATTTTGGTTTTTAAAGCTGACTTCTCCTTTTTCCATAAACAGATGGTATATTATCTCCAAATTGCCAGGTTAACAGGCTACATCAGATGTATCATCTTCTCAGACTCTCCAGGCGTTCACAAACACTAGCTAAGCATCTTTACACACTGAGGTAATTCTCAGTCTTGCAGATAAGGAAACAAACACTTAAGAAATTAGGGGACTTGTCAAGGTCACATAGACCTGGAAATGTGAAGTCAGAGCTTAACTGTAAAATTCAGATCTTCTT